TGAATAAAAGCAAATTTACTACCACTTATTTTGTGATTTTGTCTGAAATATGGTATATTGCAACAATGTCTCCGATATTAAAAATATATGGATGGAACATGAAAGAACAAACTGTGCCATAAATTATTCTGTTATCGGTTTGGGGCAGACTTAGTGAATTTGTATCGAAGCTCTCTCAAAAGGTTTGCGAAATCGAACGAATCAAACAACTGAGAACTGAAACTGAGTTCGGTGTACCAAGCAACGAAAATTTGTCTCTAAACATCGAACAAAAATGAATCACTACGAATAAATTAAAAAAAAAAATGTTTTCTCTTGGATACTTCACAAATTTCATTTGCTGTGCTCAAACATGTTTGTTTTAATGCTGTGAGAACGTACTATTATTACCATTATTTAGTAAAATTATGTGATTATGAAGTTCTAACTTATTACGAAAAGGAGTGATGCAGATTATTTGTCTGACAAAATATCCCAAATTTCCATCTGCAAGCCAGGAAACTACCGTGCAATGTCATTATTGAAACCTCTAAATCTGTTGTTGGAAAGCGGGCTAAAACTGGTGCTAGACGTAATATCATAATTGATACATTCATTAATCTCCGACAGCAAGCCTTTAGGCAAAATCCGGCGATAGAAGGTTTATTCGGCCATTTTGGTCATTTTGAGGCTCCGAAAATTGTGTAGGGTTACTGTTTGATGAATTGATTTTAGTATTAACTAGATCAGTTTGAACAAGAAGCGTTTTGACGGACATGCTTTGAAAGTTTTACTAATGACGGTTTGGTCATTACCCAGAAGGTTGATCAGTACAAGAAGTATTTGTAAGCGTAAACTGACTGTTAATTTCTCAACAGGGAAATCATCATCTGTCAAAAATTCTTTCATTCGTTTTTTCAAGCGGATTGAAGCCCGGGGCGGCATTTTTTAAATGAAAACCATGCGCTTTCGTAGCCAAATTATTATTTGGAAAAAGTTGCAATGCAACTTTTTATGCCGTGTATAACTTTTTGTTCTTTTTTAATGCATTTGATTATGTTTCAAACAATTTGATTGTTTAATCTCGATATGACCAGATATGGTATAATAAATGTTTATTATAATAATTAATATTATCACATTTAGGAATATTTTCCAGGTTTTGAAGCTGTGGTCTATGGGAATTTCTTCCTAGGAAGAAATTCCCATAGACCACGGCTTCAAAGCCCGGAAAACATTCCCAAATGTGATTTAACCCGCCGTGAAAGCCTTCATGGTCTTTTGCCAATTAGCACCTCTCCAAGAATTTATAAACTAACAATATAAATGCACATCGTCCAAAAACCTATTAATAAAAAATTAATGTTTGATATATACAATACATATTTAATGTGCAATATGGGTTGAGGTGTGAGCATCTATATACCGACCACTTGATGGGGTAATAAAGTTCACATACATATGGCATGTTGTAAGTGAAACCTTCTTTTAATGTTTTTATCAGTACCCCGTACTGATGTAATACCACATTTAATTTAATTAGATGTTAATACTAATTTGCTAATTAATTAGTGTGAAAGTTTAGTTGAGTATTGGTTTTTATCATTATTTGACTGGAAAAAGAATTATTTTCATTAGAGAAATTAATTTAGTAAATTATTTTTCTATTAGCAGGTTTGAGGGCATGTTTAAAATTGTATTTTCGATGCAAAAATAGCAACAACCAAATATTTTTGGAGCCCGCAAATTGAGAAATGGGAACTAATGAAACCCGCATTAACCCTGCTGACGAGTTCTTTGTTTTCGATTTAACGTCATTACATATACGCAATTCCCTACGTTCATTAATAAATTTATTTTTTTGGGTATGGAAAATTAGACGTTGGAATTTATAACCGCATGGCAATTGGATAATAATAAATATAAGTAATAAAATACAGTAAATAAGGTTAAAAAATGTTCAATAATTTAATAAGCTAGTTTTTCGGATGCACCGGGCTTCCGCCATAAAAATGTACTAACGTCTGTCATATATTAAGATGCGTGATATTGAAAAGAATTTAAAACAGAATAAACACTAGATAAAGATGACTTAACTCTAGTGTCCAGGTTTCTTATGTGAATATAAGTACAACATTAAAAATTGCAGAAATGCTAATGTTAATAGCCGACAAAAACCTAACAATTACTTATGCGGACAACAACGGACCGACTTAAAATTATATGAATCTCGAAAAATTTATTGACACTTTTAATGTTTATTTAATAACGTAACTTAACTTCTAAAACATTTCAACATCATCACATTTAAACTTTTGATCTATTTACACTGACTAAGGGTACAGAAGGGTTACAAAATTGCGCTTTAACTTTTGAAAATTTATGCAGCAGGCAACATAAACTGATTCATTTTTGGCAAATATGTCAATTATGTGCATTACTTGAATTCGGTAATTCAATAAATAAACTGCATTAACTGGGGTATCATTCAACTTATATTCGTATATACGTTATAGATCTGCTTTCTATATGAATTACTCTTTCACTTTATTTGCTGATTACTTAATGCAATTTTTGTCCATCTAAATGGACACAATTGTTCATTCTATATCAACTTGTCATGCACATTCTCCCATTATCGCCTGAGCTAAGCTCATATAATCCTGTCCCCCATAAAAATGCAGGAGCGTGCTGCATGTAAAGTCTCCGGATATAAACTTTCGAGTATTCCAAATGAAAGCACAAGGGTGTGGCCGAGAACTTTAATCTCGCAACAAATAAAAGAAAATCGTCTCTCGCTTGAAGGAGAACCCCTCCGAGTTGCTGAAAAACTTATAAACCTAGGAAAACAGCCGAAATTAACTTCTAAAGTTTTCAGACAATATTTACGTGAAGGAACTTGGCAAGTAGGCATATTCATATGTTTACTTTGTATCAACTAGGGGGGAAAATCGTCCATTTGGAAAAGTTTGTAAATTTATTGGATTTTGATTACTGCGCTTTTGCTTTCGAGTTCAGGTTTTGTGTAATTCAGTCTAGGAAAGCATAAAAACCTGACGAAGTTTTGCCAGTAAGCTAAGCAAATCTCAAATTGATGAGAACATGTCTACAAATTTGTTGTTTCACATACTGACGAATAGTGAACGCCTAACCATTGCACGTAAACTGTAAAAATAAAATAACATTTTATAGCGACTTTATTGAAATGGTTTCATCTTCCAATATCATTATAGCAATTTATTTAAATTAAGTAGATCAGCATTATCAACTTTAATTGGTTTTCCTGTTATTTATTGAAGTCCACATTATTGCAGTTACCTCTAATTTCTAGCAAAAAACAACAGACCATTGCTTGGATCTTCTGTGAAAACGTGTCTCGAATCGAATAAAAAAGGTTTTAAAAAATTATTACTTTTGTAAATGGGAAAATTGTATTTGCAATTTTACCAACTAATTTGTATTGAGATCGAAAATTCTCTCAAACTAATTCATTAATTTACATTGACTATAGGTAATCAGGGAACCATTAATAATGTTATTTCCATGCCTGCACTATTAACTATCCAAATCAATAAAACAGATCATATATATTTGTTTCTTTTAATGAAAATGTTGAAGTTAAATTTGGATTATAATAATCTTCAATTAATTCGTGTTAATACAGATTATGTGTTGTTCATTATTACTTGCGTATACAGTATACGGTATTATTATATCGGTTTAATGCACATGAAAATATTATTTCTTTTCTATCAGATTTACTAACTGAATGTAGAACAATTAGGTAGTTTAGCATCTTGTTTAAATGCGAACTTAATATATTTATCTATGTTTTGAGTTAACAGTTCCATAATGCCACCGCGTAGTTCTACTAGCATATCCCTTTGTTTTACATTTTTCTGGTAAATCATTATTCACTTCTAAATACCGAGTTGTTATCTGAAAAAATCTTTTGTATAAGCAATTATTATGTGCACGCACCCTTCACATTTAACATAGGAATTCTCTATAGAGTATAGAAGCATAAAACAAAGACTTCTTTTGATTTGTGTGGTTTCGAGTATTATTATATCGTATGGTTATTCAGCGAATGTGTATAAAGGAAGCAAAATACATTATCGGTACGATGGATTCAGATGGCATTAATCTGAAAGCTTTTTGTAATACGATACATTAATTGATGGGCTCAGATTTAGTGGCTTCATCCTATCAGTGCCTAATTATGCATTCTATGTAGAAGCAGAACCATTCAAAGTTTCTGCTAACAAGCTGTCAAATATCTGTTCTATA